GTTTTACTGTCGTCTGTATACACAGCTGTTACTTGGCAATGGGTGTACATGTGACAGTATATACTATACAGGGTGTATCACAACTCAACGGAACGGACTTGTCATGTAGAGAGAAGAAAACAAGTATATGAGAACATGGGTCAGGAAATGCATATAGTTACAGAGTAGTAATTGTGTCTGCACGCCACTGAAAAGAATTGGCGACATGAATGCTTTCTCTCGGTTGGTCCGCCTTTCACTGGGAGGACAGCTCTATGATTATCATGACGTCACCTGTGATTACCTCCTGATAAAGTTTCCTCTACCAGTTCTTTTCAGTGGCGTGCAGACACAATTACTACTCTGTAACTATATGCATTTTCGGACCCATGTTGTCGTAAACTTGTTTTCTTCTCTCTACATGAGAAGTCCGTTCCGTTGAGTTGTGATACACCCTGTATAAGCTCCAACTTAGCAAACAGGATGCTAAAAAAAATAAAATGTAATAAACTATAAATACGCCATATAGTCTCATAGCTGACCGATATTTCTGACGAATTACGTTCCTCCGAAACGTCGGTGAAACTTCTACCAGACCACAGGGATGTAACTGTTACGTCCGATTACAGTTATGGCAACTGTAACTGGATACTGTACATGTCTCGAAGAGTGAAGGAATTCGCTTCACACTCCAGAGGGCAATTTGAGTGTTACGGCCGATTTTACAGGGGAATTTGGGTATTGTTAACGGTTGGACCTGGCACTACACTTGCGCATGATTGGGCGATATCGTGATCCGTGTGGGGCAGTTGAGCGCGCTGCTCGTCAGTCACTGCTAATTGAAATGATCTGCTATTTCAACTGTCCAGTGAAGAGGGCGAAACATTACAGCAATGTTCATGCCAGATCGATACGTGCTCCAGGATGCATGTAGGAGGCGGAGGTGTGAGCTGAGCCCTTCTTGAGAAGCCACCAGTTGCGCAGCTACTCAAGAATTTCGCAACATTTTGTAGAACCCGATGGTTCCTTACACCTACCCTGAGCCGCAGCAGTCCAATCCATAACACCCCACACTCTCCATTTTAATATTAACCACCAACCTACGCCTCGATCTTTCTAGTGATCTCTTTCAATCTGGCTTTCCCACAAATTTCTTCTTCCCATTCGTGCTACATGCCCTGTCCATCTCAACCTCCTTGACTTGATCACGCTAATTATACTTGGAGAAGCGTACAAGTTATGAAGCTCCTCATTATGCAGTTTTCTCCAAGCTCCTGTCATTTCATCCCTCTTCGGTCCAAATGTTCTCCTCAGCACCCTCAGTCTATGTTCCTCACGCCCACACAGAACCACAGGTAGAATTATAGTTCTGTTAGAATATTTAATGATCTGTTTTGTGCTGGGATCTGGAATGCTATTTCCTTATGATGTGCCATCTCCCCCGATAGTTAGACTGAATGTTTTCTAAACGGGGTCTTTGCAATTTATCGGCTTTGCCTGTTAGCGACACCGTGGGGCCGAATTTTGCTTCGGTGGCCCCTGTTAGCCATGTTAGGTAGGTCCCTTCTCACCGCGGCATGGCGCGTCCTCAGATTGCGGATGGAAGAGACGGCCTTCAGATATGGAGGCTAACAGTCGCAGACAGCAGATAAGGGGTGGTCCTCCGGCTAAGGAGTTAAGAGTGGGAATAACTGCTTATTGTAAAGAAAACATCCGATTAGAAGTATTACACGGGTCCTCGAACTTGGACTTAACATGTCCACAGAGCTGTTCCCTAGTAATGGCTGTTGTACTGTTTACGCAGCTG